CAAGAAGGTTTTAATCCATCAAAGAGACCTCCTCATTAGATCACCATCAGTTGTCTTACTCTGAATGGCTTTTCAAATTAAACCATAAGCTTCTTGGACAGTGAGAGGATGGATATTATGCCTTTGGGGCAATGATGAAGCAGTAAAGGGATGGATGAAGACCATGAAGGACTGGGGCTCACCATGAGCATAATGGAGTTTGGAAAACATAATTATGATACTGCTAAGATCTCTAAACCAAAAGAAAAATCAAAGGCAGGATGTCAATGTAGTCAAGATACTATCCCGGGAAAGGATGGCAGTTCTGCCCCTCTCTCTGTGGAAACATCCTGTTCCACTGGGATCATATGAAGTGCACAATCTTATAACAGAGAATGATCTTCAGTGGAAACATGTCCAAACCTAGAAAAGGCCTTTTTAGAAGGCCTAGAAAAGGATTTCAAAAAGTGCTTATTTCATTGTAGCAATTGAACTCTAAGCTCTTTTTCCAAGGAAAAAATAATAATTGTATGCACAATTTTAAACACAACTATGAGATTTCTCCCATTGAAAGCATTGCTTGGTATTTTCCAAATTATACTCTGGACCTTGGGGCAAGTTGGAAATGGTCTGTCTCCAGATCATTTGGAGACAGAAGATTTCTGGAGCAATTTGGACATGTCTGCACAACCTTTTTAATTTGACTTATTCCCCTCTACTGTAAAAGGGCATATGTCAGTGATTTTTTTTTACTATTGGTTCTGTGGGCGTGGCATGGCTTGGTGGGCGTGGCATGGTGGGCATGGCAGGATACTGCAAAATCTCCATTCCCACCCAACTCTGGGGCCAGCCAGAGGTGGCATTTGCCAGTTCTCTGAACTACTCAGAATTTCCACTACCGATTCTCCAGAACCTGTCAGAACCTGCTAGATTTCACCACTGGCTTATGTCCCTTTGCTGTGTTTCTTAACTTCAACACTTTAAGTAGTGTGGATTGGCATGCTAGCTGAGGAATTCTGGGAGTTTAACTTGACTTAAAGCATTTACATATATCGTTGCAGGATGTAAGTTGTTCCAAGTTGCCCTTTGCAATTTACTGATGGTGAATTTGTCAATCCTAATGGTGTTCAAGTGGTGCTCTACTTGTTTTGGGATTGCACCCAAGGCAGCTATTACTATTTTGCTTTCTTTTGCCAAGGTCATTTATTTCTTTTTATAGGTGTTGTTATGTACATCTGCTACACATCAGAAAGGAATGCTTGGTCAACACATACAGCTTGACATGTATACCAAACATGAATTTCAATAAACAATTATATGGAAATGTACAGATATTGCATACATTCAACTAAAATCTGCCAAATTCTAACTTATTTCCCAGTATTTAGAGAAGCAAAAAATGATGATGCCATACTGAGAAAAAATTAAAATGTTTGATGGGAATACATTTGACCCACTATCTCAGGACTTCAGATCTGCAAATAAACTGTTCAGGAAATGCAATTATAGAAAGGTGTGATCTAAAGCTCTTTAAGGTCAGGGAAGGATTCTAACTGAATCCAAGGGTGCGAGGATCAAATTTATGATGCAGAACACTTTCAATAAGTATCTGAATATTCCCACTCATTCTTTTTTCCCCAAGGAGAATCCATGTAGACAATGTCTTGCAAGCGACGTTTTCTAAATATGTAATCTGATCACATAGCTCTCTGAATACATGCAAATGATTATCAGAGTATTAGGAATGCTAGTAGTTCACCCTGTGATTTGAAGAGTCGGTCGCACTGTCTTTATTATTCATTTTGAGCTAGAAAGATTAGATTTGCCATTGAAACTTTGCCTAAAGCAAATCTGGGATCCCCCTCCAGGCAAAACCTCTTTGGATTTCCAGGGGAAATCATACTGAGCCGCAATCACACAAAGCAACATTGTTAGGTACCATGATTCGATGAAAAACAGATCTTTAGGGGGGTGGTTGAACTAAATGGATTGACACATTACAAGATCAGGGGTGAAAGGCATGGGAACAGAGGCAATCTTTGATGGGATTTAAGACTGGAAAAATTATGGGCAGAACCTTGATTTTTTTTTTCCAGCTCTTCACACATTATAAAAATTGTTTTTCAATGTACACAAAGGTTAAACAGACATCTGGCTTTGCATCCCAGAGACAGCTTCAATACAGGGCAACATTTTAGAGTAGAATAGAATAACAGAGTTGGAAGTAAGTTAAGAGAGCCCTCAATCTTGCATTTAAAAATATACCACTTTTTTGCAAATGTAATGTGAGATAGATACAGCTGCTGAAGTACAGCTGGAAACAAGGAATTCTTGAAAAAACAGCCAAACACCAGGGACTGTTTGATTCCGCCCACTCAAAATCTATCCAATAACCAGTATGTGTTATATGGTGCATAAATTAGGCTCTTTGCCCATTTTTCTCTAAGTATTCTTCGCAATTCCAATTATCTAAGAGGAAGAGGAAAGACAAAAAACAACACTAATTCAGAAGTATAAAGGTGACTCTGCTATAAACTCTCGGCCCACAGAATAAAGGATTTCTAAATTTATAGGCAGCAGGTGTTTCAGATTTATTTTTTACACTGCAGCATTTCTCAGAGCGAGGATAGATATATTAAAAATGTGCTACATGTACAAGATTATAATGTTGGCAAGATGCACCAACACTTAATAGGAGTTTAAGATGAAAGACAGGGCCTCCGGAAAGGGTTATCGTGGGTCGCCTGCACTCAGTTGTAGAATTTCTACACTTTCTGCAATCAGCTCACACCTTTCAGCTTTCTGCTGTAACTGCAAATCCAGACCTGCCTTATCAATCCACACACTTGCCCAGATTGTCTGTTGCTGAAAATTTGTGCTTCTCATTTCCAGTGTCCCGTTTCCACCCTGTCTGGAATTCTCAGCCCTGCCTTCCTGTTTGACTGACAACCAAAGTTAATCAAGCAAACGTGTCACAAGACTTTCCCTCTGATCACAATGTGTCAAAATGCAAATCTAAATGTCTAAATTCATGCAAAAAGCCCAAGATTTGGGAAGGAAGAGAGGAAACGAACCAAAATTCCTTTGTGCATACTTTTCCCCCTAACATTTGTAAAACAAATTGATTTTTATTTTCAACCATTCCGCTGACCATGCTTGGATAAATCTCTGGAATGGACTATAGCATGCTGCCAACCATAAGGTGGCTTTGAGAAAAATCTAAAAGAAATCCATTATTTTATCTTTGTGGGGTTTTTTAAATCTCGTAATAAACAGTCTACAGCTTTCTTGAGAAAACAAGATGATTGCAATGATTATTATGGTTGCTGGATTGATAGCAGACTCCACTCCCATTTTTTACTAGTCAGATTGATGTATTTTCTTTGTTGTTGTTTTTTTTTACTTTGTTTTATTGTTCTACTAGCCAATAACCCGGCATTGCCCAGGTATTCATTTATAGGGGGGAAATGTCCAGGCCAAATGTAATTTCTAATGTTGGATTTTCCCCCTTACCAGAGAAAGCCTCCTTGTGGAGTACTGTGAATCTGTTACCATTGCAACTCCACTGCGCTGAACAATAGAAGCCATTTTAGGGCAGTACAGTAGAAGACATTGTAAGGCACAACAGGCTGTATCTTAACAGAACACCTCTCCCCCCGAGGGGGTCTTTTATTCCAGAGAGTAAGTCATCTGTGTACCAAATTTGTTTGAAATTGCTGAAAGGAACACACACACACGAGGTCGAGCGTGTGACCCGCTGAATGAGTCGAACCCCGAATTACTTGGGTCAAGTC